CTATAAATCCCAGGATTCCATAGGATGGAGCCATGACAGTTAAAGCAGCGTTAAACTCCATTATTTCTGCAGGGTGGCAGCAGCCAGAGTGATAACAGTTTCCTATATTTTAAAGTTGTGGCCATAATCTAGGGGTGCAAAGAATGTTTAAAAATATCCACAACATGGGTTTCCGAAGTGTAGAGAAACCCTGAACCCTCCTAGATGGGTGAGAATCCATCTTGTATCACAGTTTGGCACTTACTTTGGGAAAAATGCACCTTTGGACACAGAAAATACCATTTTCTGCAGAGAAAACAAGTTCCCTCTGTAAAAAAACAAAACAAAACAAAACAAAAAACACAAAAAAACTCAGAATTTTTTCTGTAGAAAATATTGTTTTCTGACCTTTAAAAAAAACCCACAAACTTTTTTTGCACAAAATAAATTCCAAACTGAATAATCTTCAAAAACCTATGAAAGTTTCAACTACCTTCTATGTTGATCCATAACAATAAGCCAGTTCTTGTTTTGTGCCGTCAAGTAATTTCAGGCTTACAGCAACCCTAAAGCATTGTGGGGTTTTCTAGTAAGATATGTTCAAAGGAGGGGGGGTGTTGCTTTTGTTTTCCTCTGAGGCTGAGAGAGTGTGACTTGCTCAAGGTTACCCAGTGGGTTTCCATTTGAAACATGATCTCTAGTTCAGCACTTAAGCTGCTACAGCACTTAAGCTGCTTCTCCAACCAGTTCTAGCCATTTTAATTTCTATCAGGGGTCTTTCGCAAAGCTTATACTTCTTAATTGTCCATTCCAGGACAAACTGCTCCTCCAAATACTATGCAGAATGACAAGAGTAACTGATAAGGATATATTGTTGCTGGGAAGAGCCATTACACTCTTTCCCCCCAGCGGGGCTATGATTGCAGCCAAGCTCAAAAGGAACAGGAAAGCCGGAGGGCAGTGACAGATGATATCATTGTCCCAGCCCTGGCCTTAAACCCTGTGAACTTTGGCTCCTTTACGTCACTCTCGGGAGCGCTGTTCTGTGATGTGCATGGCTAAGGAAAGCCCTGGAGTCATCATGATGGGGCCTGCTGCCATCACTGACCACAGCATTTGTCAGCTGTCTTGTTATGCCTAATAGTGGAGAACATCATTTTGATAACATTGCAATGCACACTGATAACCTAACAACAGGCCTTTGCAGACTGCTAGAAATAGTGCACATTAAATTGAGGCACTGCCCTGGCTCAGTGCTAGGGAGTCATGGGAACTGTAATTTATTATGGCACCAGAGCTCTCTGACAGAGAAGGCTCAATGTCTCAGAAAAAAACACAATTCCCATGATTCCCTAGCACTGAGCCAGGGCAGTGCCTCATTTAATGTGCACTATTTCTGGCAGTCTGCAAAGGCCCAACAACAACAAGGAAAGGTCTAACCCTTTAATTTAATTTGCTCTTTCACTTGTAAAGTTAAAGCGCAGAGAATTTAGCAGGGTCATAATTCCTGGCTCTGCTCCATCCTGGTATTGGCCAAATTGCAACATTTCTGTTGAATATACAGATTTGCAGACAGGTACAGTGGGCCCTTGTTATCCACTGAGGCTTGGTTCCAGGTACATACCAGAATCAGTGGATGCTCAAGTCCCATTAAATACAGTGGCATAGTAAAATGGCGTTACTTGCATAAAATGGCAAAATCAAGGTTTC